GGTACTCAGGTTGTACTCCTAGAAATGTGCACTTTGAAAACTTTTCCTGAATTAAATGGATTATTCAAAACATTTACAAGCACCCAAATCTCCATATTCTCAGCAAGAAAGCAAAAGTGGGAAATATTTGGGGCCTAGCCATACATTTATGCATGCAATGACTTAGGGGCGTACATTCTGCTCCTAAGTTTATTCCAAGTATTTCCACACTTAAACAATGATGAATATTGAAAAAACTCTCCATTTTAAGATGCTCTCTTCCTCTTACAGATGGGTGGACTGTCTGAGAACATACATATTTTAAGTTTCCATCCCCTTTAAATTGAAAAAGTATTATGAAAATTTAGCATTCAATGAAGACTGACGTGCACACAACAAGGTGATGCCTCCTTTCAGGAAAGTCTTGCCAGACCTATTTGGTTTCAGTATGTCCTTCAGGTACAGCTCAACTGATCATTTAAAAAAAATAGTTCTTCTCAAATTATTTTTGATTTTTCAAATAATTTTCAAGTTGAAACAACCTGATCTTCATTCTAAAGTTGCTCTCATGCCTATAATGTAAAATACCGAGGTAGTTCTATTGGATGAGACCCTGAATCCTTAAAATGGGCCAAGGCAGGAGATGCATCATGGGTGAGTTGCAAATGGCACCGAGCAGATCTGAATGGTGTGCAACCCAATGTGACCCGAGAGCATCGCAGTGTCCAGATTGGTTTCTCTGGTGGTCCCCAGGTTAGTGCCTGGCCCTGGAGACCAGGTTCTAAGTTGGAATTACGCACTCACTGACCTTTTGGTGCTTGTGCTGGAGATAGGCAGGTAGTCCGTGACTGCAATGTACACGTATTGCTTCGCATCATCTATTACACTGTAGATGGCATCTATGTCAAAGCTTCTGTTTTTAGGGCAAAAGAGTTTGGGAGAATTCTGTGAAGACACAAAAACCAAACTTTAGAGTATTAATTTTTGTCATCTGGGAAGTTCTCTTTGTTGTTAATTTTTAATTAAAAAATGAATCTTGGCTTTTTAACCAGTTTTTTGCTAACCTACTTTCCAGTTCTTTATGAGATCAAATACATTTTCAGTCCTATCAAAGTTGAGGCATGTCAAAATCATGGTATCGTGGGATGGGTCTCAAATTTGTCCTTTAAATCCATTTTGGGAGGGAATTCTTGTTTTCGATACACACACCTTTGTGTTTTTACAGGATCATTCCAGCTCGAAACTTTTTTGACTCAGGCATGCATCCCTGTCATACATAACTGACTTTCTCAGACATTACCATATACTCTAGAAGTCATTTCACTTGAAAGATAATGTGGCCATAAAAATGTTCAAAACACATGTTCTGAAAGTCTTTTTGTTTTTTTTTTCAAATCTTCATTGAGTGAGGAAGAGGAGTGTTGATGGTTGAGAAAGGGTCAGCAGTAATTCTAGAGGAAAAACCAAGTAGCTTATTAAGATGCCAAGTGGGTAAGGAGAGATGGGAAGAAAGGATATTCTGCAAGACTGAAGCACAATGAAAAAAGAGGCGAATTATACTCAAGGCATTTTTCTTGTGCTGCTCAAAGTGGTTTCCATCTCATAGAAGTATGATGTTTTTAGATAAAGTTGCTATCGAAAAGGAAAGATGTACTTTGGTTTTCTCACTGTTTTGCCACTGGAGGAAACTGAAAATAGTGTTTCTGTCATTCCTGTATCACTCTGACAAGCAATACAGTAAGTGAAGGAATACAAACAATGGTGCTTAGTACCTAAGGTCAAATCAACGGTTTCTGGAACTGCCTAGAATCGACAGTACTGGGTCCTTCACCAAATGTTCCACCAGTAAGGTGGTCAGGGTCCATCACAAATGTTTGGAAACGACTCCCCACCCAGAGTTGGCAGGAATCCCTATCCCAGTTTAGAAAGAGAGAAGGCGAAGCTGTTGGATTGGATGCCCAGCTAAGCATGGGGCTGAGAAAGGAGCGTGTTGAAGGGTAATGCCCACCAGGCACCCTTGCTCAGAAAGTCGTCTTGGCTGGTGAGTTTCAGAGTAAGTTTTGGATTTAAATTATTTTTCTTATGGAATAAGGATGAGCTTCTAAGTCTTTTTTTAAAAAAAAAAACTAATGCAAAAAAAGGGAAAGAAATCCCATCCAAAAAGCCCCAAATAGAACAACAAAAAATAAAGGAAAAAACTTAAAAAACAAACCCAACGCCGTCCCACGCCCTTTCCCCAGCACACACACATGGAGACGCTGCGTCCGTCACCAGGCTAGACGGCTTGTGCTTCTGCAGTGTCTCTCATGAGACTAAGCCTCCCCCTTACTCTGGATTGTGGTTTCCCTCATTTAGGCACTGGTGCTGTTTGCTGGGGACGTTACACATCTTCTGAACTCATTTCCTTGTCTCCGTGATGCTTAAAAAGCAAACAAATGTGTGTCGCTCTCAGGACTCCTGGTTTCTTGGTGTTACGGAAACGACAGGCCAGCCAACAAACAAGCACCACTCAGAGGGTTGGAGTACCCAGATTTATTACACTGGCGGGCTCAGAGGGGCTTCTGCTCCGAAGCTCTGAGCACCTCCAAGACGTGTGCGTGAGGTTTTATAAGGTTAATTACAAGCTTGGGGTATTCAGCCTATAGGCATGGAACAGCTTTAGCAGCATCATTATCACAAAAGTAGAGGCAGGGAGGCAGCAAACCAACATTTCAAGGCCAGATACATGTCTCTGAAAATCCAACAAACAAACAAACAAAAAACACGAGCAGGGAATCAGCAAACAGACACTTATGAACTTAGATTTACGAGTTAGACCAGCCTGGCTTTTCTTTCACATTGGAATCCAGTCTGATCTCACTAGGAGGGATGTATCCATGGCCTCTGAGACCCTGGCCTCCCGCTTCTCTGCCTCTCTCATTTGCTGGTCACCATGCCTTCTATACCCCAAACTGAAATAATTGCCAGCCCAAGGCCATGCTCTCATCTTGTCTGGCCCTGAGTATTTGCTCCTGCCGGCCCCTCTGGCTGATGTGTTTCCTGTCTTTGCCTGTCAGAATGGTACCCATTCTCCAAGTTCTAGCTCATATACTATCTCCTCCATGAAACTTTTTTTTTTTAACTGAAGTATAGTCAGTTACAATGTGTCGATTTCTGGTGTACAGCATGTTTCAGTCATGCATATACACACATATATTCATTTTCATATTCTCTTTCATTATAGGTTTACTACAAGATATTGAATATAGTTCCCTGTGCTATGCAGAAGAAATTTGTTTTTTTTTTATCTATTTTATATATAGTAGTTAATACTTGCAAATCTCGAACTCCCAATTTATATCATCACCTAGAGGCTATTTCTTCTTTTTCTGTCCTCCCATTATATGATTTATTTGTTACGTTATTTAGCATATTCACACTTTTAATTACTTGTGCTTGCCTCATCTCCTTGCCTAGACTCTTACTAGCTTGATTTTAGGGGCTGTGTTTTCCTCATTTTTTTTATCTCCATTAATAAATTAAATATTCAAGTTAATTAATTCCTTTAGCCTACGGAGTCTGCTTTAAACATTGTTTAAGTTTAACATGGAGAAGCTGAGGGTCTTAGTTCTACACGGGCACCTAGGCTAACACTGAAATGTGTCCAAATGCCTATGTTTTTGTTTCGGTTAGGAACTTCCTCACCTTCCCTACATATTCCAAAAACTGGATTTTGGTTTCAGGGAGGAACACGTTTAGACACAGAGTTGCTGGTCTCATTACATTTGCTGATATTAGTTTCGAAACTGTATCTTCGTTGATAACAGAATTTATACCATGGTGATGTGCCCAGTTCCAGCATTTAAAACCTGTAGCATGCTGGGCATGTCTCTTACACTTCCTGAGCCTCCACTTCCAGTGCGGTAAGAACAGTGACAAGCCTTTCACGCTGGTTTGCTTTGAGGCTTAAATAAGAGAATGGCTTCCTCCTGGCTGGGTCTGCCTCTCCTCTGTGCTTACTTTCGTTCATTCAGCAAATATTACTAAGTATCTGCCATGCACCCGGCTCTAGTCTGGGCACCTGGCATGTGTCAGTGATGAAAACAAGTTTCCTGCTTTGTTGGAGCTCCATTCCAGGACATGCTACATCGCGCCGCGTTCATCTGTCTGTGTGATTCTCCACCAGCTTGTGAGCTGCTTGGGTCTATGCCTCCTGTGCTTTGTCCCACGCCATGCTGAGCACATATTATATACTCTATACATATCTGTGGAATGAAAGTGAAAATGCTTCTTCAATCAATGAGTGCTGGAGGCTTGTGTGACCCCCAACCTCCACTCCTAGCTGGAGTTGCTTCATTCTGGGTATTTCCATCCACGTGTGAACAGACCTTTTATTTGCCCTTGCCTTTTTGTTTCCTGTGTCCCACTGCCTAACCCAGTGCCTACAGTACGGCAGGTGCTTCAAGCGTTTATTAAGGAAATGCATGACCCTTTGTATTAGTACCTCTGCCCCTGGGGTCACGGCAGTACTTGACTGTGCATCTAGAGTCCTCTACATTTGACGACAGTGTCTGGATATACTATTGGCTTTAGAATGTTTGCTCAAGGTATAAATGAAAAAACAGCAACGTGAAGAATGATCTACTGCTCTGACAGAGGAAGTTAACTGGTTCCCATTGTTTACTTAGAGAGAAGGCTGTTAAGTTTCCTTCTTATCATTCCTGAATTAATTTTCTGATCCTTGCATCGTGTACTTCTTTATTCCACAGCAAAATATAAGGAGAGGGAAAATATAGACCCTTTTCTTTGTTTCAGCTCGGCGATGATCTTTTACCGATTAAATGCTCTTGAGGCAACTTGATTATAGGTAACCTATGTTTCTTATATCTTACATCTTTTTTTTGGAAACCGCGAAACAATTTATTGAGTTGCTTTATACAAAATTAACAATTTCCACACCACCCCCAACACCAGCACAAACTCACAGCCCTTTTACATCCAAGAAAGGCCCCAGGAGGAAAGCCCGCTCTGTCGGCAGCTCTGTAGACCTGCCCTGCTGTGGCTTTTTAAGTCACTCACTCTTAACACAAACAAAGCATCAACAAGGAAAAGAAATGCCTTATATGTGCATGCACTTTGTTTGCATATTCATTAAATACTTGCTTCAGCAGGGTTTTGAGACTTATTTCAGTTTCCTAGCTTTTAAAAAAAGTCTATTCTCCATCCCTAGAATATATACACTAAAACGTAGTTAAACATAAAAAGGCAACCCACAGAATGGGAGAAAATATTTGCAAATCACATACATTCTCTGGAATGTATAAAGGACTCTTACAACTCAATAACAAAAAACCAAGTAATCTATTTGAAAAATGGGCAAAGGATTTGATGGATAATTCTCTGAAAAGATAAATGAATGGCCAATAAGTCATTGAAGTATACAAATCAAAACCACAAGATGCATTTCACACCCACTAGGAGGGCTAAAATAAAACAGAAAATTACAAGTATTGACAAAGACATAGAGAAACTGAAACCCTCATTTATTGCTGATGGAAATGTAAAAGTGGTGCAGCCAATTTTGAAAAGTTTGTCACTGTCTCAAAATATTTAACACAGAGTTACCACAGAACCGAGCAGTCCCATTCCTAAATATAAACTCAAAAGAACTGAAAACAGGTGCTCAAATAAAAAGTTTGTACCTGAAGGTTCATAGCACTATTCACAGTAGCCAAATGCTAAAAATACCCAAATGTCCACCAACTGATGGACGGATAAACAAAATATGATATACCCACACAATAGAATATTATTTGGCCATAAAAAGGAAAAAGTACTGATTCATGCACTTTGAAAACAATATACTAAGTGAAAAAAGTCAGTTATGAAAAACTGCATATTGTATTACTTCATTTATATGAAGCGTCTAGAAAAAGGCAAATCCTTTGAGACAGAAAGTAAATGAGTGCTGAGGGAAGGGGAAAATGGAGAGTAACTACCAATGGGTATAGCTTTTTCCTTGGTGGTGATGAAAATATTCTGGAATTAGAAGGTGGAGATGACTGTAAAATTCTGTGACTATACTAAAACCCACTGAATTGTATGCTTTAAAAAGATGAATTTCATGGTAGTAAGTTATATCTCAATAAAGCTATTAGAATGTAATTAAAATATAAGCAGAGATTCTAAAGAGACATATAATTATATTTTCTAGAGCAGCCCGAAGTCCTATTCAATGTCGATCCTCACTCACTAAACAAATCTCAGTTTACATGACTGATGGGTGAATGAACTAAATAATAAATAAGAGGGGAGTGGGTATAGCTCAGATGGTAGAGCAAGTGCTTAGCACGCACGAGGTCCTGGGTTCAATCCCCAGTACCTCTTCTAAAAACAATGAAAAATAAATAAAGATAAACAAACAAACTTAAATTAAAAAAAAAAAAAGAAATGATATCCATCTAGCACCCAGATCAATAAAAGCAGATCTTGAACTAACCAGTTTTTATCTTGGAAATCAAATGCATGATCTCAACAGCTCTAAAAAGAACTCTACAAGAAAGGACAAAAACTCAGCCCACTGTTCTGTCTTCTGATTTCAATGGGGAATGTAAGAAAAGTGAAATGATCTGGCCCTGAGTTACTAAAGATCACATGGTTAAAGTCAACTGCCTCTTTGTGTCCCGTGAGAAAATGAGAAAAAACCCACATCTATATCATAACTTAAAACTTCTATTTAAACATGCTAAGTTATTAATCACCTAAAATCTAGTTTTGGGAATAATTCTTAAGGTTTTCAAGTATATTCTTTTGTGTTAATTTAGTCTTGGGACTGTCATCTTATAAAAATATAATATACTATTTTAAGACATTTTACAACAAATATTTTGAATTTAAATAAAATTTCCTTGGCATTTGTTTAGCACATATGCTCAGAAAACTGTATGTATCCTGGAACTTTTTATTGGTATTACACTAATAGAACGAATCGAACATTTGTTACAGCTCTGTGGAGCCCTGAGGGAGGTGCGGGGAGTCCCAGTGCTGAAGAAAGTATAGCACACGACCTTCAGAGCGTTATAAAATAGTGGGAGAGATAACTGATAAACAAAGAGTTAGAAAACTGTGGTAAATGCTGTAACAAAGGTGGGATCAAAGGGCTCTGAGCAAACGACACCAATTCTAGCAGGTGCAGTTTTCTGACTTTATTTTATACTTGTAAGATTTTATACCCCTGTAAAAATAGTGTTCAATTAATACCTCTTGAACTGAAATTCAAAAGTTGAACTGAAATTTAAAAAATTCAAAGGCCATTAAGAATAATAATTTAAAATAATAAATGAAAATAAAAAATAAAGGCACTGCATGGTTTCAATGACTATACCTGAAAGACTGTTAAAAAAAAAAAACAGTTCAATTTATTTTGTGGCAGACCATTTAATAAGAAGCAATTTTGTAAATCTGCTCTAGAATACAAGAAAGGCCTTGCATTTTCACAGACTTTATTAAAGGCCTGGGCCCTCTCCGTTAACTTTGGGATCAACAAATGAGGACCCCCCCCACTTTTTTAAGGATCAGAATTTAAATTTATGCAACGACCACATTCACTCATCTCTGAGATTCAGACCATAAATTCCAAACGCAACCATTACTGAAACTGTCTCATAACCCATCTATTTCTTGCTGCTTCCATCTGTTCTACTGGACCTGGTTGAGTGAATGTCCCTTGTTGCCATCTGGATTAAGGGTTCCTTGGCAAATTTACTATTGCAACTCATCTGCAAATTAAGAATAATATCTGGCTTTGTTATCTTATAGGGTTGTCTTGAGAGAAAATAAAATTGACTACATGAAATAATTTTGTTAGTAAAATGCCCTATACAATATGCCGCTGCATTACTGACCTCCACACATACCAAAAAAAGTTTTCTTTAGTTCTACTAGATGAAAATCTTCTGTAGTCTATTTTATGTTATTCATATTTATATGGATTTAAGACAAATAACTTCAGTTTCCTCTCTACAGCCACAGTTCTAAATTTTCAGACTGTGCTTTCATTTTAATAGGCAAAAAGTCTCCTATTCACCCTCCTATGAAAAGTTCTTCTGTGACATAAGTTGTCAGCATAGAAGCACATGGCTCAACAGTGAGGAAGCTGCCATGTTAACTTGGGAGTAGAGTTTAGAGAAGTCTCTCAGAGCATCAGGACCAACTCAGAAGCCTGATCCAAATCAAAATTCTAAGGTCTCACCCAGGTCCTGTGGATCAGATCCTGGTGAGGGATGGGGGGACTGTTAAGTTTGCATTTTAAACAGGTTCCCCACTGGGTTCGTAAGTAAAGTCTGAGGACCAGGGCTGCAGGCCCAGATGTTTACACTGCCCACTCTCAGCAACACTGTGGGGATGGCTGTGGTGTGTGGGCAGTGGGGTGGGCGGGTGCGAGGTGGTGATTTTCAGGGCGGTCGAGGCCTGGATGCTGTGCCCTGCCCTTCTGAATGGGCCTCTTGCCCTCCAGCCCCAACCAAATACAACAGCTCTGCTTCGGTCTATTTTACGCACTGGGGTTCCCTCAGATTTGTTTCATCAAAGGGTTCTATTCCTAAAATCAATCTGAAAATCACCGACGAACAGCATCAAAAACAGGATCTGGTATCAGAAGACCCGGTGCTGGTGTCCCTCCTGGCACCTGCTCTCTGATGGTCTTTGCTCTTTGTGCTAGCAGATGAACTTCAGTATCTTCATTTCTTCAGTCATAATCCTGGGTCTGCCTCAAGGGGTGACTGTGCGGATCAAATCAGATAACGCAAAGTACCCGAAACTAGGACTGATTACTAACAGGTGTCGTTAGTACCAGCAGGGACAGCATATGACTGAGTGGAAGAGTGGCTCTGCTTTAACTCTTCAAGGGATGTGTCACAGCTGATCTGTCAGGTTCATTTTTGCCCAGCACAGGATCGCACTCGAACATTTGCACTGAATAAAGGGACTCCGGAGGAAGGAGGGAGGAGGGGAAGGAAGAGGAGGAGAAAGAGAGCAAAACTCACCGACACAAATGCTTGAGATTTGGTTTCGTTCAATTGAAGCTGCAATTTCTTTTCATTGTCATAGACCCCATAGAGCCTCTTGGACCAGGTCTGTGGGACTCTGCTCTTGAATTTCAATGAACTATATAAAGCAAATATCCTTTGCAAATCTAGGACCAGGCAGCTGCAGTTGTAGAAGATGACACCAAGTTCTTTCATCTGAAATTAAAATTGAAAGCATCAATGCCATGTACATATGATAGTGTTATTCTCCGAGGGAAAAAAAGTGCAAGAACGTAGTAGCAGTGACTTTTTATCTTGTAGTTGTTACACGATAACAGCTATATATATGGATACATCTCTGTATGTTTATATCTCTAAGTACGTAGATAGAGTCACATTATGGTATACAGAAGTGAGGTGTTATTAAAATGCTTAAATATTTAAGCAGAACTTTTGCTTGAGTTTTGCATTTGAGCTCTTATAATCTGTCCATACTTACCTACACTTTTAATACCAGCTTTTCAGATTCTTTCCTTTAACATTACATTTTTGGGTATGAATCCTTAAATCATGAAGCAATATAAAGATTGACTTTTAGCTGCAGTATAACAGAATGGTTTAGACCATGGAGTCTGGAGTCGGAATTAGGTTCCAGCTTTACAACTGGCTTTCTAGGTGTGTGATTTGGGGCAAGATTTTCCCAAGAGGCATCATTTTCCTCTTCCATGAAAAGGAGACAATAGTATTTATTTCATGCAGTTGCTATGATATATGACATGGTTAATACATTTTAGGGGCTTACAATAGTACCTATCACATGGTAGCCACTAAAAATATGTTAGCAATTTTTATTCTTATTAGCATTGCACAAGCCTCAAAAGAAAGAGACCAAAGGAATCTTGCTTTGTCTGTGATTCTGTTTCTGTTTCGTAGATGAGTTCATTAGTGTCCTTTTTTCCTTTTTTTTTTAAGATTCCACGTATGAGTGATATCATGTGGTATTTTTCTTTCTCTTTGTACACCAGAAATTGACCCATTGTAACTGACTATACTTCAAAAAAAAAGAAAAGAGAAGAAAAGAATCTTGTAACAAATTGTAGAGATGATTTTGTCTACCTCCTTCAATGCACTGATGAGGAAAGTAAGTCTTACACAGGTAAGTTTTCTCAAGTGAGAGATTTAGTCCGGGGTAGATTAAGAATTTGAATGAAGGTTTTCTGACCCTTGATCAAATACACCCAGGAACATAGCAATACTGGCTTCAAGTCCAGTGTCACTTTGTAAAAAATTACAGATTTCTAATTTAGTCAATGAAAGTGAAAAAGTGAAATTTTGGTCTTAAAAGAACAGCATGAATATACATGCCTCATGATCTGAACACCAAGTAAGGAATCTGGCAGAGATACCTTGATATTAAGTTCCCTTCCCTTCCCTTCCTCCAGCCCCCTACTCAAGACTCTACTCAGGATTACAGGAGAGGTCACCCCCTGTGTAGGGACCCGTATCTCTTTGCCCATTAGGACTCCCAGTACAGCACTCCATGGAGATCTTCCCATAGTTATCTACAGCCGCCTGGCATCATTTTTACCAGCTCCATAGTGGGCACAGAATAGATGGACACAAGTTATTCAACCTGCTGATGGACTTGTCCCTATTTTTTCTCTGATACAAAATATAAAGCAACGAGCATCCTTGTACATACATTACTGTGCAGCTGTGCAAGGACTGCTCTTAGATTCTGAGACTTGAATGGACACAGAAACTATGGGCAATTAGAGGTTAAGAAAGTGGGAGGAGCTACAGTGGGGAGGGTGTGTCAGGTGTATGCAAAGGTGCTGAGTCTGGTGGGACAGAATCAGAGCTGAGTGGCTGAAGCTGAGGGAGATGGGGAGAATGTGTATGTGTATGTGAGCGTGTAAACATTCCTGTCTGATGGCAGAGAGTAAAACTGGTGGGACAGGTCTGCCAGATTCCCAGGGGGCTTTGTGCTGGGATAGGCAGCTTGACGTTTGCGCTGAAGGTCCTGGGGAGGCAGGTGATGATGCAGTGGGGCGTGGACAGGCTGTGGACTGGAAAGGTCCCTCTGCCTGGGTGTGGAGACAGGACGAGGGCACTGGGGAGCAGGGCATTTGGACCCCTGGCAAGGGGAGAAGCCCACACATTCCTATGTGTTTTCAAATCTCAGGGATTTCCCCTAACTGTCTAGTGTAACTGCTAATGATTGCTGATCTCATTCCAGATTGGTGCGGGGTCCAGCTTGCTGTTCGCGAAGTCTCTGCTGACAGGATGGCAGGAGCATTAGGCTCTGCATCTGACCGTCACACTTCTGGGCCTTTCCCCAGATTAAATCAGTGCTGCCTCATTCTCTTCTCCAAGGAAGCCTTTATCATCTCAGGGTTCTCAACTTTTGTACCTGTTTCACTTTATAAGTAGATTTTTTGTCTGGTGGTGGGAGTTGGGGCAGCAGAGCTGAGGCTCAGGTTCCCCTATAAGTAAGCAGCTGCCCCTCTCTGACATGTTTCCTTGTCTGCCAGACACAGGCAAGGTTAGGGGACATCCAGGGGGCTGGCCTGGCCTGGGGCCATCATCAGGAAAAAAAACAGACACACAAAAATGACCTGAGGCCAAAGATGTGGACTGAAGTCTAAGCTCTTCCACCAACCAGATTATAGGGCCTTGGGCGAGTCACCCAATTTCAGTCCTTGTCTCTTTTTCTGAACATGCAGGGGGCTGAGCTCATAAAGTCGACAGGGGTCTTCCAGCCTTGCCACCTACAAAGAGAGCAACCACTCTGCAATATGGCATGAGGTGAGGAATCTGGTTAAGCGCCCTTGTGAAATGTGATGTCTAGAAGGGTGTCAGGTAGCAGCTCTTAGAGCTTTTCTCTGCGGAGGAACAAGGGAGAGAGAGAGGGAAGGGCCTTGCCATGTGACCGAACAGGACACAGCGAGTCCTCTCCTAGAACAGACCCTGAAGACAGACTAACTCCACCGAGGGCGAGGCACTCCACCTCTTCGCAGTTTTCATCTGTAGCTTGGATGGATTCCCCTGGGAAATCCAGGAAGATTAAAACAGATGTTTCATAAACATCAAATGAGAGCAAATCATTGTTAAGGATTTGGGCTTAGGGACTAAAATCGAGTTGTATTAACATTATGGCTGTTCAACTCAAGAGCTGTATGACTTTGGACTGGCTCTTCAACTTCTTAAAGCCGCCAAGATGAAGAGAAAAGTAGCTGAGACATGGGACTGTCAGCTTGGCCTTGATATTTCTAGGAACTGACCTGGCACTCGAGCTGCATCCCAGGATCTCCTGTCAAACACGTTTTCACAGAACACTAGCATCAGATGAGGCCACTCTGTTGACTCTCCAGGGAGCAATGGAGATGAAAACAAGACCTCTCTGTAATTGTGTGTGAACACAGACAAAACAGGAGCACTGTCCAAGCCACAGAAAGGACCATAGAGCCCCCACTCTGGCTAATACGGGTGACGGCTGCTTCTTTATCTATCACGTCTCCAGCCTGGCTTCATCCCCCCGCCCCCATACAGATAAGATTTGTTAAAACATCGAATTATAAAGCTGCCCTACTCGCAACAGCATCCAATCCTGAGCAATGCCCTGCCTCCTTAGCCCTTCCCCACATCACCTTGCACAAGCCAAAACCCCACAGTAAGTCCTTCCTAAACCAGCTTCCTTACATCCTGCGGGTCGCCACATTGTCACTTTTCCTCCTTGTAACAAGCAACTCATCTCCAGCGTGCAGGCTGGATTTTGGTCGGAGGGCAGCAGCCTCCTTCTCCCCAGAACGTGCACGTCACAGGGCCGTGAGGACAGACAATTCAGTGCAGCGCGCGCAGTGCCCGGCACTCCGTGTGTGCTGGCTGCTGGTCCTCCACCCTAAGTCACACTGCACAGGGAGGACTAGCTAGTCAACACGGTTTCGGCTGAAACAGGAAGTGGCCCAGGCAGCAAAGGAGGAAGAATTTGGGGGGGGGGGAATGAACAAATGAAGGCACAAATGGCTCTAAGTAAGGGCATAAAGAAAGGCTGCATTTTGAGAGGAGGCTCTGACCACTAAAACCTAAAGCAAGTAGTGCTCCTGAAACATTTCAGTATTGCTCTGTCTTCTGGTCTCTGTATCTATTACGTACCTTGTGTTGGAATGTGTACCATCGCACATTTAAATCTGGAAATCTGAGGAACCCATTCTTTAAAAGCTAATGGAAGAACTGGAAGCAATACAACAGAAATGTATTTTAATGGCAGCATAATTATTAATGATGTTTGTCCCTTTGGGTATAATCAGACAGAGGGGAAGCCTATTTATGAAATTCTCAGCATTTATCATCCCCGGGGCTGCCCTCATGTACCATTTATCATCATTGCCATGCAAGCGGTCACTGTCTCTCTGTGCGCCCTACCTAGATTTTCTCCAGAGACTAATATTTCCAAAGGTTCTATTCTAAACAAAGATTTAGTGTCCCTTTCTCTCTGTTGTGTAAGCTGCTTTTTGTGTACTTTTGTCTACAATCTCTGACATTATTCTGCCGTGACTGCATTATAGCTTTAGACTCTGAAGGCAATGGAAGAAGCCAAGCTTTGCCTTCTAGACATGTAAAGAGAATTTTACTTCCTCTCTGTACCTTCCTCTCCATCTTAGAATGACCCAAACCCATTTCTAAATATACATATTTGGGTTAAGCTGGCATCAACTGAAGATGGACAAAAAGAAACTGGCTTTTGTTTGGCAAATTCTTCAATCGGAGCAAAAATTCAGGGTAGGTTTATGAACACACCTTAAAATACTGGCAATGAGGGGAATAAAGACTGGGCCTCTGAAGAGCTTTTATGTCTAGATTATCAAAGGAACCAAAAGCTAAATTGATCGACTGACTGCTTGACTGACCAGCTGAGGCACTGAGATGGGCTGCCCTGACTGTTCGGTTCAAGCACACAGCTGATGACTGATGCAGTGGTCCAAACGTCTGAATAAAATCGTCTTGAAAAATCTGGAGATTTATCAGCTAATGAGTCTTTAGAAGATAATTAGTCTTAGGGGGTGACTCTCCTTTCCACAAAGTGGGCATTGTGTCAATGATCAACCCATGAGCTAGGAGAGGTACTCCCTCCACTGGGTACCCCGCCCGGAAGCTATCCTACAGGTAATGATTTTATTTACAGCTTGAGTTACATCAACGGTTCTGTGATGTCT